CCTTAGGAGTTCTGGTAGCATAGTGCCTAAGGCATTTGACTGCTAACCAGAAGGCTGGCGGTTCAAACCCACCAGCCACTCCTTGGAAGGAAGATGGGCAATCTACTTCCATAGTGATACTTCCTCGGAAACCCAAGGAGGGGTCGCTGAGTCAAGTTTGATTTGACGACACATAACAACAACAACAATAAATCCTTGTCTTCCTATTTTTGGGTCTTTATTTCTATGCTTCTGTACATTCTGAGCTAACTAGAAAGGTTTATAAAGGTATAAATATGAAAAGATAAATATTAAAAGTTTCTGGTTTACATATCTTATGTGTAACATGGAGATAATAATTTTACATTGACTCCTTAAAAGAAGTAATCTGGCATTATTATTTTAGGGATCCCAGGCAATTCACTTCTTAATCTTTTACCTTCCATTAAATTATCAATGTTCTGAAAATTACATCATTCCTAATGTACAGCTACTTACAGAGAGGAGCTTTAAATTCTTCAAGATAAATAGGGTAAGGGCCAAGAGTTGGTTCAACAACAAATACATGCTCTGAACAAATAGCATGTATTTACTTATTACCAAATACAGAAATCTGAAAATTGTACAGTACAATTAATAAAACATTAAAAGTTAAATAACTTGAAAAAGTAGCAAGCCAGTGGATCCTTATTTTTCTCAGGAAAACGAGACCTTGTTAGTATTTCTACAAATAAACTCCTTGGATATGGTTCAAGACTAACTGAACTTGGGTTGAATTCTTTAGAGCAGACAGTGTTAACAATGAGATTCCAATGAATAAATACAAATTTAACTTTAGTCATATGGGAGAATAAAAATATAGGGGGGAAGGTAATTATTTAAAAATCATCATAATGGGATACAAAACTCAGTATATAAGCTCTTTGAATAAAAGACTTGGTGTTTTAATTCTTCAAAAATCTGACGGAAAAGAATTTTCTACCCATACCTTTCTGCATTACAAAGCCACGTCCCATGGACACACAGATGACCATGTCTCGCTCTATGTCGTCCCATGACTGAATGGGCTTTCCATCTGGAGTGAACAGTGTTCTGGCTGGGTGGGCCGTTTTGAGACGGGATGAGCAGTCATCCAGCAGCTGAAACACCAAGGGGCAGCCACATTGGAACGTAGAATGTCACAAAATAATCAAGTGTCGAAGAATCAATTAATTTAAGAGAACTATTATCCTGAATGGAGTATTTATTCACTTAAAACTGTTAGAAATATGGATAGAGGGCGATGGGAAGAAGAGCATAGATGTGTTCCCTAAAGTGTTTAAATAATGAGGAAATTCAGTGCTTTTTGATGGAATTTTCCTTGTAGTTCCCTCTTTTTCTATGTGCCACAATGCTTCTTGCTGGTTTAGAAAGAGGAAGTCTTACTTAGGTGCTTAGGGAGCACTGAACTTCCGTTAAAGGTGATGGAAAAATCCTGAACTCCCAGCATAATAAATGTAACTAATGTTACTGAATTATATGTGTAAAAATGTGGAAATGGCAAATATTTTGCTCTATATACCAAAAACCAAACTCACTGCTATTGAGTCGATTCTGACTCATAGCGACCCCACTTTGGGTTTCTGAGGTGGTAAATCTCTATAGAAGTAGATTTCCCAGTTTTCCTTCTGCAGAATGGCTGGTGGATTTGAAACGCCAACCTCTGGTTAGCAGTCAAATGCCTTAGGCACTACACCACCACAACACAAAAATTTAAATATAATTAATTCCGGATTGAGAATACAGATTTGTCATAATCCCCCCCTCCATCTATATAGGTACCAATCAAGGAAGTAGAATGATAAAAGCATTGGCCAATAGGTGGGAGACCTAATGTCTGGCCTCCATGTGACCTTGAACAAGTCCAGCAATTTCACAAAGAAATAATCTCCTCAAATATAAAATGAAAATTGAGGACAAAAACAACCCTTCTCTGACTCTATGAGTCTGTGATCAGAAAGTACCCATGATGACACCTTGTATCTATAAAAGGAATCACTAGTATGGAGCAACAAGACAAGAACGATGGGCAATGAAACTCAGAGGGTGCAGTTTTTGTCCACTATTTTTAGCAAGAGATGAATTAAAAATGACTTGAAATTATCCGAGAATACATTCTCTTCTGTAGCATGAAATGAATAGAGAAGTGCAATGGGAGATTGGTCTTAAGTATAGCCCTACTCCTCCAGTTAAATAACAGCTGATCAGAACCAATTTGACTAAATACTGTGCATTCGAAACAGCCCTTCAACAACGATCTAAGAAAAAGATTCTGAAAGCTCCTAAGTAGATACTGAAGGGGCCAAAGAAAACTGACCTATCCTGTCTATTGTCAAATGATCTTTCCTGTTCAAGGAGATATAAATAGCACAGTCAACAATAGCAACAACAATGCTTAACAAAATATTCTACAGCATGAAAGGGGTACATTGTATTTGTGAAGGTTTAGAAAAAGATTCACAGCATGGCTATGGTTTAGAGAGTATCTATGTTATGTTTCTCAAATGTCAATAAAATATGGCTGCCATTAAAAAAAAAAAATATTCTGGAATGAGATAAAACCACAGCCAAAAATAAAGGAGAATTGCTGAGATGTAGGTAGAGATGATGATGATGATGATAATGTTGTTGTTGTTGTTATATGTGTCGTCGAGTCAGCCTCAACTCAAAGTGACCCTTCCTTGAGTTTCCGAGGCAGTATCACTACAGAAGTAGATTGCCCAACCTTCCTTCCGAGGAGTAGCTGGTGGGTTTGAACCGCCAGCCTTCTGGTTAGCAGTCAAGTACCTTAGGCAGTATGCTACCAGAGCGCCTGATGATGATGATAGCAGCTAAAATTAATTGATATATTTCTTTGTGCTTGGTACTGTTCTGAAAGCTTTCATTGACTACCTCATTTCATTCTATGGAAATAATTATTATACTCCCTTTTGTTGAGGAGAAAAATGAAGAACAGAGAAGTTAAATATCAGAAGCAAAGCTACACAGTAGGAGCAAGGTTTCAAGTTGGGATAAATAGGTAGCTGAATGAGAAGAGAAGATAAAGAAATAAAAGACTCAACAGAATAAAAATCTGAGTTAGGAGTAGAAAATGAAGACTCAATATTGCAGAGAATGAAATCAGTATTGGGGAGGACTAAGTTAAAAACATATCATAGGAGACAAAGGACAAGAGATAAGATTTATGAGAAATAAAAGTTAAACATCTGGAATATCAAGAGATCAGGTATGAAACTTTTACATTATTAGTGTTACTGAAGAAGAGTCAAGAATAAATTAAACTTAAGTAATTATCAAAAAAAAAAAAAAAAAGAAGAAGAAGAAGAAAACTTTCTTGTCCCAAACAAAGATCATGTCTTCAGATCAAATAAGCTAACCCAGGATAAGGCAAAGTTAATGAAAAAGTTATTAACTTTTAAATATAACCAGGTAAAAAGTATGAATGTCAAGCATTTGGAGAAAATCCATTTATGTTTAGAGTTTTCTACAATACAGAATAGCAAAGAAAATGGACCTAAATCTATGAAGATTTTAGGTTTAAACACAAGAATTCTGCATCCAGTCAAGTTATTATTTATGGTTAAAGGGAAACAAAAGATATATTCATGTAGACAAAACTTCAGAAAACATACCGTCAACATATATTTCAGATTATTAAGAAATGAGTAAAAATTCCTTGAGTATGGGAAAGTCATAATGTAAAATGATTAAAACTAAACTTTAAGACCATTAAAACACAATACAACTATTATAAGAGTGGTCAGGAAATAAATGAAAAAATAATTACTTAAAAAATCTTTATAGAGAAAAAAAGTAAAAATAATATAAAATGTCTTCAAAATGCACAGTGGGCAAGCAAAACAAAATCAAAGCATTCTAACTTTGTTACTTAAACCAAACTCCCTGCCATCGAGTCGAACCCAACTAATAGCGACCCCTCCTTGGGTTTCTGAGGCAATATCACTACAGAAGTAGATTGCCCAACCTTCCTTCCAACTAGTGGCTGGAGAGTTTGAACCACCAGCCTTCTGGTTAGCAGTCAAATGACTTAGGCACTATTCTACCAGAGCTTCTTGTTACTTATGGGGACAAAATATATTGTTCCTCCTTTTTCTTTTTTTTAAAAACATTTATTTGTATGATTATAGCCAGTGAAATAAAATATAAAACCAGAATAAGAGAAATAATTCTTATAAAGGAATAGTCCAAATCATCATATGAACTTCTTATGATTTCATTCTTAGAAAATGAAACAAATGAAAAATAGCAAAAATAAGACCTTAAAAGTAAAATAAAAGCTTAATAAAATAGCCAAACACAAAATAAATTTAAATCATTCTTTTTCTACACACCAAAAAAGACATTCAGAGAGTGTGTTGTTGTTAGATTCCATAGAGTCGGTTCTGACTTATAGTGACCCTATGGACAACAGAACGAAACACGGCTTGGTCCAGCACCATTCTCAAAACCATTGCCATGCTGGAGCCCACCATCACATCAACTCATTTCAGTAAGGCTCTTCCTCTTTTTCACTGCCTTCTACAAACATGATATCCTTCTCCAGGGGTTGATCCCTTCTGATGACATAACCGAAGTACAAGAGTTGAAGTCTGGCCATTCTCACTTCTAAGGAGCATTCCAACTGTACATCCTCCAAGACACATTTGTTTATTCTTCTAGAAGATCATGGCGTAGTCAATATTTTCCACCAACACTACAAATCAAATGCATCAATTCTACTGTGGTCTACTTTATTCATTGTCTAGCTCTCACATGCATATGAACTATTGAACAGGCTATGGCTTGGGTCAGGCACACCTTATTCTTCACAGTGACATGTTTGCTCTTTAACAACTTTAAGAAAGCCTTTTGCAGCAGACTTGCCCAATGCAACTGGCTGTTTGATTTCTTGACAACTGCTTCCCTGGATGTTGATTGTGGATCCAAGAAAAAATGAAATCCTTGACAACTTCAATTTTTTCTCCATTTATCATAATGTTGCTTATGGCCCAGTTGTGAGGATTTGTATTTTCTTTATGCTGAGGTGTAGTCCATAATGAAGGCTATAGTCTCTGATCTTCAAAAGTAAGTACATCAAGTCTTCTTCACTTTCCACAAGCAAGGCTGTGTCATCTGCATATCTTAGGTTGTTAATAGGTCTTCCCTCAATCCTGATGCCACATTCTTCTTCATATAGTCCAGCTTCTCAGATTATTTGTTCAGCATGCATATTGAAAGGATGCAACCCTGACATGCACCTTCCCTGATTTTAAACCATGCAGTATCCACTTGTTCTGTTCAAGCAACTTCCTCTCAGTCTATGTACAGGTTCCTCAGGGGCACAATTAAGTGTTCCAGAATTCCCACTCTTTGTAATGTTATCCATAATTTGTTATGATCCACACAGGTGAATACCTTTGCATACTCAATAAAACACAGGTAAAAACTTTCTGGTATTCTTTGCTTTTAATCAAGATCCATCTGACATCAGCAACGATATCCCTCATTCCACATCCTTCTCTGAATCTGGCTTGATTTCTGGCAGTTGCTTGTCAATATGCTACTACCACCATTTTTGGAGTATCTTCAGCAAAATTTTACTTGTGTGTGATATTAATGATATTGTTCAATTCTTTCTCTATTCTGTTGGACCACATTTCTTTGGAATGAGCACAAATATGGATCTCTTCCAATTGGTTGGCCAGGTAGCTGTCCTCTAAATTTCTTGACATAAGCAATTAAGCATCTCTAGTTCCACATCCTTTTGTTGAAACATCTCAATGGGTATTCTGTCAATTCCTGGTGGCTTGTTTTTCACCATTAAAAAGGCAAGAAAGGAAGGAAAGACCAAAATGGATGTCATAAGAGACTCTAAAACTTGCTCTTGGACATAAGGTAGCTAAAGGGAAAGGAAGAAATGATGAAGTCAAAGAGCTGAACAGAAGATTTCAAAGGGTAACCCCAAAAGACAAGATAAATTATTATAATGAAATGTGCAAAGATCTAGATTTAGAAAATCAAAAGAGGCATAGAGGTTAGAATTTATAACATATATTCAGGAGGCATAATTTAATCCATAACGCTGTGTAAAGTAGAAACC